GTTGACAAGAGTAAGAGGCAATTTGATTGGACCATACAGTCCTGGAGGGGGCTTGACAGGGTGCAGGGTGCAGGTGGAAAGGATGCTTCCTTTTGTGAGAGAATCTAGAAGTAGGGGTTACTGTTTCACCCATTGAAAACAGGCAAGAAGTCTCCCCGCCGGAGGTTCTCTCTTTAAATCTCTTCCTCAAAACGAAGTGGAAGCAGGATCCTGGAATATTTTTAAGGTAGGTGTAGATAGATTCTTTGTAAGCAAGGAAGTGGAAGGGTTTTGGGAGTAGACTGGAATGTGGAGTAATCAGATCATGCATCAATCTTATTGAATGGCAGAGACAGCTCGAGGGGCCAAGTGGCCTACTCCTACTCCTGAAATGTGGGTGTGTATGCTCATTATTCCCTGAAAGAACTAAAATTAGTCAAACATCACGTCCCCTTCACAGGATCATAATGCAATCAGAGTCAACAAGATTTTCTTAGTGCCCAGCTTATAACTTTCCTAATGATAGATACCACCAGTTTCATTCTGCCAGATGTTAGGCAAACTAGCCTGTAATTTCATTCTTTCTGTTCTCTATCCTCTCTCAAGTAGAAGAGTTACGTTTAGTATTTCCCAGTCCGATGGGACATTTCCCAAATCGAAGGAATTTTTGAAAATTAAGACAATGCATTTTCTATCCTAGCAGCACAAAGTGATAAGCAAGTTGAAAGGGGTAGAGGAGAGGTTGAGCTGGACATTGTATTAAGTCACAAAGTTTTCTCTTGTTTCAAATTTGTCACTATTTTTGCAGCCTCCTTCAGCACTACAACCGAGGACTCTCCCTTCAAATGTGCTCTCTCGCATATCCTTTACTTAGTCACCCCCTCACTAATTACTTCTCTGAACTCTACTGTCTCTCCAACTACATCCCTCCTTCAAGATGCTTAAAATGTAATTTTTGGCCATGCTTTTGGTCCTATTGTCTGTTTCTTTCTAGGTCGTAATATTGCTCCTCTGAAGTGCTTTAGGACATTGAAAATTCAGCATAGATGCTACATAAATGCAAGTGATTGTTAGCGGATTTGGGTTTGGTTCTAGCCAAATGAATCAGTTTCCTTTCTTTGATGGGTTTAGGAAGTTTGGAAATAAATTGGCTATTAAAGTTCATAGTCAAAGCTAGTTCATAGTATCAAACTGGTGAGTTTAATCCAAACTGACCATCAACACAATGGTCAAAATGGTTTATGGGGATCTGTGGATATGCAGAAAAGCATTTAATAGTTTTCAGGCAGCCAGTGTAATTAACGAAACAAGACATCCATATCTTGTGAAACTGAAAATCAATTGAACCAAAGTTTAACAAATGAAGCTAGCATTAGCAGAATATCGTTTATTCTGCACCCTAATTAGAAATGAATGATATTGACACTGATTGGCAAAAATACAGCAATATTAATTTTCTCAACATCTTCAAATATGGCACTTTCATTCATACCACCCAACAAAAACATGTAGGGTATGCCATGTGCATCTAATTTACTTACTCCCTTTACCTCTTCCCCATGCTGGCCAATCATCAACTAACTTGATAGAGATACCGATAGGTAAAACACACAGGGAGGGACAGACATTTCAAGTCAGGAGAATTAAAGTTATTAAAGTTTGTCATGCAAAAGAAAACCAAGAAGGTATCTTATAACTTGTAAGCAATTAACTGGTGTCAGTCATGGTTCACGGATCTGATTCAGAAGATTGTGTTCAAGTCCTAGCATAGGATTTGATCATAAAACTCAAGGCAAACGCTCCAGTGCAAATAATTGGAGGTGTTGTCTTTCTCATTAATTTTTTTTTTAATCAGGGCTCCAAATATCCTCTCACATGATTCTAAAAGATCCCACTTCACTATTTTGAAGAGCTGCAGGGTAAGTATCCCTACTGTTCTGACCAATACTTATCCTGGAATCAACATCACTAAAAGCAGATCACTTGGTCCTTATCACATTGCTGTTTTTGGGAGTGCACGTATATGAATTAGTTTCCATTTCTCCAGCTTTACCCAAGTGACTGCACTTCAAAAGTACTTCACTGGCTGCAAATTCCTTGAGATATCTGGTCGTCATGAAAAACACTGTATAAAATAGGAATCTTTGTTATTGCTCCATGCTGGTTTTCTTCAAAGCGACTCTGATAATCAGAGTCCAATAATTTATTTTAAAATATGCTAACAGGGGATCTTTGTAACCAGGTGTTCAAAGCAACATTTAGGACTCCATCGTTAATACTCCCAATGGAAAAAAACACATTAGTGAATGATTTACACAAAAACAATGTAAGAGCATCATATAATGAGCAGTACAATAGTTGGGATTTATAACTTTCTTTTAAAAAAAGAGAGATAAATGTTACAAGGTAACTGTTCTGTCTCAATACTTGCACCTTTTTGCATACCTTGGTTTTCTAGTAGTACACACCACTAAAGGTCCATTCAAACATAGGCGATTATGATCAAGTAGAGAATGGAAGCTTCAAACTGATACATATCTATTCAACATAGAAGCTTCCCAAGAAATGTCATGCTCAACTGGGGTCAATTAAGTTGACATCCTTCTAATCGGGGACTAGATTGACCACAGAGCCTCAATAATGCTAGACATTGCTGCAATGATGACCTCAACCTCTAGAGTACATACATGCATACAAGTTGGTATCAGTGATTCACTGCTTAATTTGAGACGTCTCAGATAACATCTCACCTTTTGCTGTTAGTCTTGCTGTACAAACTCTACAAAAACGTTACAACTTGTTCAATAAGGTAAAACTGCATCTTAAATGCTATCTAACTTCATAACAACTGCTAAGCATCATCACTGGCTCCAAGAAGCTAGTTTTAAATTTGTAGAATGTCAAATTTTTCTATGGCTGTAAAAATTCTATATTATACTTTTTAAAATTATTTCATAACCTACATTTTAGCTTTTATCTTAATCCAACCATCATTTATTTTGCTGACTGATGAGGTCCTTATTTTAAGGAAGGAAAGCACTTAATTCCCAGTTTTATGGAGTGTGATGGTACTTGCTGACTTCCCTGTGGCTACGCACCAAAATATTCATTTAGATTGCTGTCAGATTTAAACAGCTTTGGGAACAGGGAAAACTATGCCACAAAAGGTTAGTCAATCACTCGGGCAACTTTCTTTGAGGTCAATGGCAAACTCTGCTATCTGACTACTGGCCCCAAAAATCAAATTTATCCTAAAGGATAGAAGACACTTTCAACGTGGAAATACTAGTTAATGTTGAAAAATGTCATCCTAAAGCTATCTTTTAAATAACAGGTGGTTACTGAAAAAAAAACAGCTTTACCATCCAGAGTAGTGTTATATCCAACTAGTCTGCAACAGGAAACACATTTAATTTTAATTCTCAAATATCAACAGAGAGCATTAACAGGAAATTTTTCTTGTATTAATCTAGTTAATTATACTAAATTATAACCCGGTTAAATTATGAAGTGATACTTTTCTGCAGCTTAATAAAACACCAAGAACAGTCTAAGTGACTTACACAGAAATATTAAGATAGGAGCAGGAGTAAGTCATGCAACCCCTCAAGCCTGCTCTGCCATTCAGTATGATCATGGCTGATCAAGCTCAATACCATCATCCCACCCTCCACCATATCTCTTGATCCCTTCAGCCACAAGAGCTAGATCCACCTCTTTCTTGAAAACTCAGCCAAAGAGGGAGCATTTCTCAACTTTGAAAAATAAACCCAACCGCACTAAATTTGAGTCAATTCCAGTGCATTCTCCTGCATATAATTATACAGATTATTTACACATGAAAAGCTATTTTAATAATGTCAGAAGTTAATGGACAAAGATCAAATGAAAATGACTGTTTAGAGTAGGATATCGAGTACTTACGGCTGGCAGAGTTTCACCAGATCTTGGTCTGTGGTGCCTGGTGGCAGTCCTCGGATGTAAAGGTTTGTCTTACTGAGCTGTTCCCATCCTGTATTATTACTGCCGCTACTACTGTTGTTGCTGTTGGTAAGGGGACTGGCTGGTGCCATTGGATGGGACGTGGGTGCACAGGGTTGCTGAAAAAAAAAGAAAAATAAATGTTAAAAAAAAAGTGTTAAAACTTATTGCTAGATTGTTTATTATACATTAGATGCAAATTTCATATTTATGACAACACAATAAATTTAAGATCTTAATAGTTGATTGTTTATAACTTAATTATTAAGAAACAATGTTACATGTATGAATAACAATATATCAACTTCATAGACTCTACTGCTATATGTACTCATGGCTCCCAACAATTATTGAAATCATACATGGAAAATAATAGCAGAGATTAATGTGTTTCCGACCTTCTATTATAAACACCTTTAACATTACTCACACAACTTACAATATTTACACAATTACTCCTAATATCCACGGGTTTCAATTTAATCACCAAGCTAAAATGGACAGTCGCCAGTAACAGGCTTTCCTTCTGGAAAACATGAACACAATGCTAACTTCTCTGAGCATGCCCTTCTCCTGTCACTTCCATGATGTCCTCTCAAGCCTGGCAAAGATTCAACTAATAGACTTGAATGCTCTGTCCAGGACTTTCCCTTATTTACACAGTGTAAACGATGGAGCATCACTGGCAGGGCAAATTATCCCAGTAGCCTTGTAGCTCTGTCCAGCATAATTCCACATTTCTTATGCAATGAATACAAGGAATATATTTGATCTGTATGCAAAGGAACTGGGAACAGAGAGGAGGCGGGTATATTGGGGATGAATCAGGATTTTTAAAAAGGTAGAAATAAGATCAGTGAAACATTTAGGATTGATACTGCTAACCAAGTGCACGTTTCTCCCGATGACACCAGGATTTCTTCATTTTCAAAACCATATTGGATTTATCTGAAAACGTAGGCCTCCATACAAAAATCAGAAAATATACATTTCTGAAATGCAAACTTCTGATTCCTTCTATGACATCCACATTAAACATTATTTCAGCATCATTTATTTCTGAGTATCAATAGTTACAAAAATGTTAATCAATACATTTGATTTTATAAAGCTTTGCACGTGAATTACTTCTAAAATGACATTCCTGCAATTATCACGAAGGACACATCAAGGACAATAATAGTATTTATTGAACCTCCTTAGCTCTAACAGATGGACAATAACAAAGTGAGTTTTCAGCACACCCTGCTTGAAGACATTATCAAAACCAATGAACATAATTGATTACCCTGACACTGAGTATTTTGACAGATTTGATTAATTGTTTGGTTGTGATTATTTGGAGAACAGGAGTATTTTGGAGCTAACAATTAATGAATTTCTATCAGTATTGGTTCTCTTGGATCACCCAGAAACCTACAGCTTAAAGCTTTTCAGAGCGGATTGTGATAGGAGTTATGCTCCAATGTGACTGCAAGAATTGGATTATAGACACAAATCTTCAATGTCAAGGATTCAAGGCAAATTCGTCTCCTTGTTATGAGCTTTACACACAAAAAGAGGTGGGTGTCCTGTTTCATCTTCAACATGGGCCTGATTTACTTGAAAGACACTTTATTGCTGTCTGTATTCAACAAGGACTTTACATTTGCACATTTTCATGTCTGTGTGGGTTTCCTCCCACAGTCCAAAGATGTGCAGGTTAGGTGGATTGGCTATGCTAAATTGCCCGTAGTGTTCAGGGATGCGTAGCTTAGGTAGGTTATAAGAGGATGGGTCTGGGTGGGATGCTCCAAGGGTCGATGTGGATTTGTTGGGCTGAAGGGCCTGTTTCCACACTGTAGGGATTCTATGCTGCTGTTCTTATTTATAGACTTTGTACTTACAGGGTGAGTGCATGAGCTCAATATGGCTTCATTGAAATCTTGCTTCATTCTCTCCAGTCATGTGATTCTATATTAGAGTCACATTGATAATCCATTATGTCACATCCCTTCTTCCCCAACCACCACCAGATTGTGTAGCAGTTAGGTCATATGCTCATGGGTAATGAGATGAACCTATTACTTGAGTGACAGCAAGTTCTGTAAATTGCTCATTTGTGGCTCATTATCAAACAGAACCGTGTCAGCATTACCATTAGATGAATATATTCATTTTAATGACTTTATCACATGTCAACTGCGAAACTGTCTAATGATTTGATTTATTTCAATTTAACTTGAGCAATGGTCTAGAATACTGATACACATGTTGCCGTTAAACTCAAACAAAATCTATTCCTAACCTTTCCCAAAGTGTTGATAGAATTATGACAGTTATAAAGATTCTTTCTGCTCATGACTGACTGTTCAGAGAACAGATGTGACAACTGGATATCGTTTTACTGGCCACCAAATTGACTTTTGGGCTTTTACGTAATGTTTTAATATTCCTTCATATAATATTTGAAGAATAACAATTCTGAATATTGAGAGTATCACCAATCAGCAAACCTTCTCAATGGGAGACATTTTCATTGCACAAGGTATTGTCTTGATGTGCTGTTGCTGGTGGCCATCAGTCCTGGCAATGTTTTCGAATGTAGAGACAATTCTCATTGGCATTGAACTTCTCTAATCATTTCTAAGGTTTCACCTCATATCCTTAAGTGCTCAATTACCAATAATGAGTATGCTTCTCCTTTTGATATAAATTCCACATCTTGCTATCCAAACAGGCTTGAAAACAAGTTCAGCAACCTATCAGCTATTTAGCAACTCCCTTGTAGGTACTCAGTTGTTCAGTCATATCTCAACATTCTGAAGTGCTACATGCAAGGTGGCATCTGTTTTAATTTCCTTCATATTCAGAAAGGAAACAAGGGGTTTGAGACCAGTTTCAATCTTACATTTTGGGCCCATCACAATCATCAAACTTCTTGCACCTAAGACTTTTCTTCCAATACATCCCACCACCCCTCCATGTGGAAGATCTTTTCTCTTTTTCTGTTGGAGACCTTTGAAGCAAAGTATATCAAGTCTATATTTTCCATCGACATGGATTCGTAGCAACACTACACACAAGCATATGACATACCTGCAAGTTCTGTTGTTGGTAACTGTGGGTGGTAATATACTAATTTGAAGAAGAATTTCTTAGTTTTTTTGTGAAAAAAACTCTCGGATGGACATTCCAGCACCACAGTTGACCTTGTCTTAAATCTGCCCTGTGAGCAGTCAGTCTGTCATGAGCAGACAGAATCTTTCCAACTGCCATAATTTCCTCACCGGTTCATCAGTTGCTGATAGATTTGCCATGAATCTCCCCACTTGTTTAACTATCCCTAGGAATACTTGTAGCTCTATTTTCTTCCTAGATCGTGTAAATTCCCAGGTTACCTTTGTTTTCTGAGAATCAGATGTTAATCCTATGGCTTGAACTGAGTGACCAAAGAATTTGATCACAGGTTTTACAAATTCACACTTGTTGGTTATCATTTGGCCTGCCTCCTGGAGCGTCTTCAAAACCTTCCTAATTTTCCAACCATGATCCTCCTTTGTGGAACAGTGTACTGGAATACTCATGCAAATGGCATATTTTTCCATCCCTTCCTTGAAGAAGGCTGGACATTGGTGTCTGCACCTGAAATATTCTAGAGGACAAAGTTGAAAAATTAATGACCAAAAGACATCGTAGAAGTAGTTAGCAACTTTGGTTCTTGGCCTAAGAGGTTTTCATTTTTTTCTACCTCCACTGTTAACAACTAATGGTTATGAGCCTGTACTCTTCAATTCGGCTCAGCCATCATCAACTGATAGCATTGCATATATTCCACAGCTACTGCTTTGAGAGTTGGGACAAGATGATGCTGATCCAAATATCTCATTTGTTTTTGAAATGGCGACTATACCTGAACACCATTTAGTGGGTACTGTGCGCAATGAAATAAACCAGTTATCACATTTTTTCAATTTTTGTTCTTATTTTATCCATTAAAAGGTGCAGTACCCTTCTGGGAGTAAAATCTCAAGTTGGTTTTGCACCTGCCTGCAAAGTAATATGATATTTATTTTTTAAGTCAAGAAACAATTACCCCGAGAATGAAATTAGAAAATTCTCTTCAATTTTTTTTCCAGCAATTGTATGGACATTGTCAAGTGGTTTCATCACATGCTTCTCACTGAGAAGCGAAGATTTTTAATTCCGTAAAATTTAAAATGGTTGAGTTATCTTGAAGAGTCTTTATATTTTAATCTTGTCTGATCAGACCTCTTTCTTTTAAATGTGTTTCTCTGGGCCATGAAGTTTGATTAAAGATGTTTTTAGCTGAACCTGTTCCAGTACACCAACATCTGCTCCAGCGTCTAGTTTAAACTCAGTAGACTGTCCCCCCACTTTGAAACTTAACAACCAGTATTTATGTCTGAGTCATTTATCTTTCCTAGCATGTTTAGTTTCTGTGGCTGAGATTCTCCCATTTGCAGGACCTGGTTGCATTTAAAATTCTGTCTTTTACTTCCACTAATTGTAGTTTTGGAATAACAGCAATATTTCAAAATGATCAACTTTGCAACAATTGTAGCATTCAGCTCCCCCTGCCTGAGAGTCATCATGCATATGTGGCTCATTCCTACATCACCTGAAGTATACGAAGATGGCGGTTGGCATGCTCTTTTATAGCTTTTGGCAAGATTTTGCTTTAGCAAGCTGCTTTCAGACCTATAAATTACACAGAGCCTTAGACTATCTGCAAGCTATTACCAGATTTTGTTTCTATATCTGTATCATTTTAGTGAGTGTTAAATACTCCATTAATTGCAAGAAAACAGATAATGCCCCTTACCCCAAATATGTGGTCCTGTATTACTTCATTCTTTAGATAGCAGATCAGCAGGAAAATGTGCATATGTCAAAGATCGTAGATAAAAATCAATCTCTGGACTTGCTTGGTCTCTGTCTGATTGGCAAGTTTAGCCCGAACAGTTACCATGTTCTTACATGAAAATCAAAATATGCATCATAACCTTGCAGACTCTCCTCATGTCAAAATGAAGTCTCACCCACCCCTTGTCTGATCAACACATCATTGACGATGGTGCTGACTGCTTGGAGAGTCATTTTGGTCATTGTTGTTATT